AGTGGCACACGGCACAGGGCCAACAGTTCATGGTGGTGAAAGATACCAAAAGCAACAAGAGCCAGAAAGGAGAGAGGCAAGCCTCTTTCCTTGGTGTGTGTGGGAGGGCAAGCACTCACTCTCCCAATCCCAGCACTAGACAGTGAACCAATCACAAACTCTAGATTCAGCCACCCCTGAAAAGCCTGTCCTTAATGGCCACGTGAGGCTTTGGGGGACATCCAGACACAAGCCATAACACAGAGTACAAAAGGGGCAGAAAAAAGATGCTAAGATCCTTTTCTTGCTTTTGCTGCCTCTGCCTGCCTTCAGCTTTTCCTCCGCAATGCTCCTCTGCTGTGCCATGCTGCCTTGGAGTCAGCAGACTATGGACTGAAACCTCTACAAACTGTGGGCTAAATAAACCTTTCCCCCTTTAACACTGGTTGTTGGGTATTTTGTCTCAGCAGTGAGAAAAGTAACTAAGACATTTGCCCAGGAGTTTCTGTCTGTTCCCACACTCTTCAACCAAAGCCCTCCTAAATTGGGTAGCTCGGGAGCCTTAGGAATGGACACCAGCACAAGAAGCCTCTTCTAGAGTAGCTCTTCTTCAACAGTGGCAGCTTGCATTATTGTCCCTCCTTGCCACTGCTCCACAAGGAAGTGGAGTCTCTTCCTCTGCCTCCTTCAGCCTGGGCTGACTTGTGACCGCTTTGAAGCAGAGTACGGCAGGGTCAAATCACGTTACTGCTAGTTCTCCACGGCACCCTGTGAGGACTAGTGATTACCACCTGCTCGTGGTGTCATTAGCTGGTGGTGGTGGTGCACACTTGTAATGCCAGCATTCAGGAGGTTGAGGATCACAGTGAGTTCAAAGCCAGCCTGGACTACATAGCGAGTTCAAGGCCAGTTTGCACTGCATAGCAAGACTGTCTCAAAAAACAAACAAAGCAAACAAAAAAAATTTTTAAAAAACGAAATGTAGGACACATTGCTGCAGGAAGAGGCCATGTGAAGGAGCCATGAGCTGTGTGAGTCAGATATCTGTAGCTACAATAAAATACCTTAGAGAAACGATTTAAATGAGGAAAGATTTGTCTATTATGGTTTCAGAAACTGCAGTCCATGGTTTGCTGGCCCCATTGTTTTGGATCTGTAGTGAATGAAAATGTCATGGTGGAAGCTTGTGCAGGGCCAAGCCAATCACCTCATGACAACTGACACAAAAAGAAAGTGCAGAGGAGGCCAGGGTTCTCTTAAGGGTCACGCCCAGTGACCTAATTTCTTCCACTTCCTGCACCTCCCACAGGTTCTAGTACCGTCTCATGGTACCATCTGTTTTAACACCTGGCCTTCAGGGACATTTCTGTTCTTGACCATAACACTGGCCAAGCCATCCTGACCAGCCGGACTTTCAGGGGACTACGGCCCCAGCTGCTGTTTGATGTAGTGCATAGAGATCCTAAAGAAGAACCCAGTAGCAGACCCCTGCCAACCACACAACCATGAGATCAAAATAAATTATTGCTGTAAGCTACTAAATCTTGGTGTAGTTTATTTACACAGCCATTAGTTATGCAGAATACTCTGAAAGACTCACCCTCTAAATCCCCTGTCCTATCTGTGTTCACTGGCTATTTGGGAGAAGCAGGGACCCCAGATCTCCCAAATGCACAGTTCTTCTTAATGATCTGACCCAGTGGTCTCCCTGAGGACCAACCGTGAGACTAGGCAGAGTTGCTGGATGGAGCTCCCCTTTCTGGGATTGGTAGGAAACCCTTAAATTGAAAGCAACAAGTATTTGTAAAGCAGCTCGATGTCAGTGGTACACTGAGATGTCAGGGACAGATACTAGCTTTTTGGTTTTTTTTGTTTTTTGTTTTGTCTTTTTCCTTTTTACTGGTATCAGGGATCGAACTCACAACTGCCTGCGCTTTTGTTTTTTTAATAATACCTTTTTTTTAAAAAGAGCATTAGCAAGCATACTGGCCTGGCTAAGCTTCTTTTACCTGTGACAGCCATCAAAGGCAGAACACAACAGCATTCCTCTCATTATTGAGCAGGAAACAACATCAAAATCCTCACTAACAGGAGTGGCAGAGCCAGGGCCAGAAGCCAGGTTGCCTGACCACCTGTGCACAGGCTTCTGTGCTACATCCCTGCTGTCCCCAAACCGCCCCGGATGGCAGTTTCAGACCCAGTCAGGCCCATTTCCCATTTCTGACAAACAGAAGGGGGAAGGACACCAACTAGGCAGGAGTGCTCGTCATTCCGAGCACCGAAATCATTTCCTAGATTCACCTCTGGCTCTGCCCTTGTAATAACGTGACCATTCCTTACGCTTGCTGAGATGCAGACAGCTGCTGTGAGCTAGTGAGAAAAGGCCAGCTTTTGTGCCTGCCTGGCCTGGTAGTGCACAACAGAAGTGACCCTCTGTGATTCTGAAATCAAGATGCTGATGCAAATCAGGAAGCCGTGGCATCAAGAGGCAAAGGAACTCATGGGAGGTGACCTAGGTCCCTGGAAGCAGAGCCAGGGCCAGAAGAAAATTCCCAGTTCTGTTTTTTTCTGGCACACATTTCTGGGTGCCCGGGATGGCTGAGAAGCCCGTGAACATCGTGAACTAGAGCTCAATCGTATTTCTTGGAGGCATGCCAGGTCTCTGTCCAGAAACAGAACTTTTAGAGAAATGGTGGCTTTGGAAATATGGAGAGAAACATGGACCACAGAGATGTTAGTAATCGGGGCAGAAGTTCTAGAGCAGGATCTACCATAGCAAGAGTATCCAGGGAGGAAACTGATGGAGACAAATTACTTACGGAATCCAGAGTCCGTGGGAAACCATGAGAAGTTTTCATGGGAGAAGAGCAGGCGAGCCAGGATAAATGACCTAGATACCACAGACTTCCCAAATGACTGGAAGAATCGCCCACCTGTGCTTGCATAGTGACCACCACACTCCCCTCAGCTCCCTTTACTGCTGCCCCCACTAGCACCACCTCAAAGGAGACGATACTAACCCCTCTGTACACAGGGGTACCTCTGGCATCTGTCCGTGTGACCTTATTTGGAAACAGTGCTTTCTAGATGTCATCAAGCAAGCAAAGATCATACTACTTTATGGTGGGCCCTGAACCCAACAGGAGTGGTGTTCTTCTAAGAAGACTGTGAAGAAACACAGACACCCAGGGATGAGGCAGTGTGACCAGGGAGGCAAAGATTAGTGCCCTGCGAGCCAAAGAAAACCAATTGTCAGCAGCCACCAGAAGCTGGGAGAAGCAGGAAGGAGTCTTCTCCAGTGAGAGTGTGGTCCTTGACGTTGACTGCTAAGCTCTAGAAGAGCAAGGAAACAGATTTTCTTGTTTTAAGCCACCTGGTTTGTGGTGATTTATTACAGCAGCCCTAGCACACTCGTCATATGGGCTGTTTACCTCTATCCTGTGAATTGGTCTTCCTGGCTACCGTGCTAGTTGGCTGGATGTTACTGTCTGTGACACCCAGCTTCCAAGATGACCCCAGCAATCCTACCTTCTCTCACCTCCTGGTGTAGTTTCCTTCCACACCGTCAGGCCTGGCCTGTGTAACCGCTAGGATAGTGTGGAAGTGACCTCCCACATGTGCCTTGCCTGTTTGTACCGCTGACTTTGTGGAAAGACCAGCAACAAGTTGTGGAGAGGTCCACATAGTGAGGACCTGCTGGCCCAGTGCACAGCCAGCTTCATGTGGAACACATAAGCCTGCAGATGACTGCTGTCCTGGGCGACACCTAGAGTTCAACCACACGCGACCTCCTAGTCCAGCCCCTCCACTCAGGTCACTTCAGTTTCTGGATCCAGAGAATGCGTGCCATTACAATGTTTATGTCTATGCCCTGTTCTGTGTAGGTAACATATGCATCTTTCCCATTTGATCAAAGTACGAACAATGGTGGGTAAGGTCAAAATCTGAACTAACTCACCACTTGCAAGCTACTGACCTTGAATATGCTTCAGCTTGAATATTCTCATTAATTAGCTGGTAGACTATTTGCTTCTATCTAATAACAATGTTGGGAGAAGTTAATACATAACTTCCAATAGTTCTGTCATACAGTAAATGTTGCTTATTGTTATTATAAGGGTTAGAAAGAAGTTAAAGAGGGTGAAAAGGCATACACACTCTAGTGACTCCAGGGCCAAATGAGGCCTGAACCTGGGTCTCCTGACTCCCTGAAAACTGCTCCCATTCTAACTGAATCCCAAGAGCAGGATAGCCGAGGAAGACAATGTTCTTGTAAATTTAGAATTTGTTTTTTGTTAAAACCAGGCATGATGTGCACACTTGTAATCTTGCTACTCGGGAGGCAGAGGCAGGATGATCACAAGTTTGAGGCCAGCCTGAGACTCTATGGAAAAGAAAGAAAGAAAGAAAGAAAGAAAGAAAGAAAGAAAGAAAGAAAGAGAGAAAGAAAGGCTAGAATTGCTATTCCTTGTAAGCCATTAGTGTCAGGGCCTTGTCATGGCTGGTTGTGTATCCTGTGCTGAGGTCAGGGAGGGCAGCCTGTGGGGTCAGACTGTCGCTCCAGCAGGCACTGGGAAAAGAGCTCCCTATGCCCTGCAGGAGAGCTGTTAGGAAGGTGCAGGGAAGCAGGTCGATAGCAGGCTGGGCTTTCACTGAGGGCCTTTTTGGATCACATTTCATGCCAGAGCAGGCCCAAGGACAGGGAAGGAGCCAGGCTGCTGTTTGCAGGCCTAGTTAGGAAATGACCAGGACAGCAAGACAACTGTTTTGAAATGCAATACGGTATTAGGGTGAAAGGGCTGCTGGGAGGAAATCTCTTCCACACTGGCTGCAGTGGTTTAAGCCGATCAAAATGACCTTGGACAAGCAGAGGCCCAGGAGGCATGGGCTTTCCCCTAGGACAAGTACCTGTCCTTCTATGACTCTTGTAGCCTCTGCCTCACACTTGATACCATCTTGTGGCTGAATCAAGGAGGGAAATACGGCAAAAATGAGCAAAGTTAGTGGCAAGTGAAATTTACCTTTGAATGAGGAATATCACCTATGAAAATTGTATGCAAAGGACCTCCAGGTGTGCTGATGGCTGCCTGATGACTCTTCTGCCCAGGTGTAGGGCTTTGGAAAACACAAAGAAAGGTTACTGGGAGTGGTTCTCCCTACAGGGTCATCACCAGGACCTACAGTGCCCCACAGCAGCCTCCGAGGCCCTCAGATCACCAACTTGCTTTTTCTCTGCAGCGCTACCATTTCTGAAAAGAGGAGTTTGTGTGTGAAGGGGCAAGCCCAGACACAACAGAAAATACTTCAGTGTAACTCCCTTCAGTGTCCAGGATGAGGAAATCTGTAAGGGCCCAGCTCCAGAAACATGTTAATGAGGGTTTGCCTTGGGGCAGGCTTGAGCTCTCTCCCTAAGCTCTGTCCCGTCCAGAGGCCCAAAGCTGCAGGCCTCTTCCCTAAGGACTCCAGGCCCTCACCAGTCATGGAGACTTCTCTCCCCATCGAAACTTTGTGCCCAGGCGTGCATGCATTCAGCAGATTGGCCTCTCAGCTCTCCTCTTACCGTTAACCATCTATCTGAAATGGATTTGTATTCAGTTGCTCAGACTTTATAAGACCTCAGTCACCTGTCGTGCTGGTTGAGCTATAGATTTTGAACTAACAGGTTTGGGTGAGTTCAGAAATTCAGTCTTAAGATGCTTTCAGACAACTGTGAAGAAAGCGAGCCTTGAGCTCTGAGGAACCAGGCCCTAGACTGGAGAGTTTCAGGCAAGACTGGAAAACACGTGGGGAACAGAACAAATGTGCAAGGGATCGGATGCTGGCTCGCAGCTCCTTCCTGTTCTGTAACCGCCTCTTCCGCAGAGGGGATGTGAAGACTCCACTACTAGGGAGGAATCCAGAGAAAAAAGGCTCGGCTCTCACCTCCTGGAATGTTACACTTGTGAACCCACCGTGGTCCCCTTCTGCTCATCCTCCAAAGTCTGCTGTTCTCCAAAAAGTGGCCAACCTGGTCCACCTGCTCAGAGCCAGTCACAGTGGTATCACACGGGGTTTTTGCCTGTTTCTTTTCCCTTTGCAATTCTTTCCAACTCAGCCTCACTGGTTCCCAAGGCCAGTGCACATCCCTAAGCAGTTAGGGTCTAGGCATCAAGCCAGTCCAGAGACCTCAATGGATTGAGACTTAATAGTCCAAAAGGGGTTATCTGCCACGTAAGCAAATAACCCAACTGACTCTGAAGCTGCACACTGAGCTTTGAGGATGCCCGAGCACCAGGTCCCTCACCATTTCTGAGGGCTGCTTTCTCCCTCTAGAAATGCACAGAAGGGGAAAGAACCAGAGACCAGTGGCTCCCAAATCACTGAGCTCCACTAGCAGCTCCTAGATCGATGGTTTCGTTCTATCTTCATGTAATCTTTGCAGGCAGGGATTCTTATCCCATTTTATGGATAGGCAAGTTCTGTGTTCTTTAGACTCTTCTCCTATCCCTTTCAGCTCTGTGGGCTTTCTGTGCATTCACATCAGATCCACGTGAGGACTGTAACTTCCATGGGCTGCAAGGGCTTACGTTTTTTCCAAGCAGGGCTTGAGTATAGTTTTAATCTTTTGTCATCCAAAATCAACCCTTATGCCGTTTATTGCTTCCACTGCAGAATTTGAGAAAGAAAAAAGGCAGTCAGAGGAACCTCATAAACTGGATTTAACTGGGAGGCATTGTGCCAGGAAGGCCATGAATGTGTTAACAGAGCAGGATGGGGATAAAGACAAGTGGTGAAACTGAAGGAAAAGGACTGTGGGCCCGTGAGTGACAGCAGGAATGAGGACTGTGCATCTGAGGGCTGCCCGGGGCCCACTTTAGCATGACCGCAGCTGCCATTAAGACCCTCCACCGCACACTCAGTGGTTCTGCGCTCTACATAATGACGGAACCCCGCCTTATCATCAGAGGGGAGGAAAGCAGCCTGGAAACCAAGGGGCTGAAGTTTCAGCTCCTGGCAGGCCTTCCAGAGCCCCATCATCCTCCCAGAATAGCACACCAGGTTCCCGGCAGCCCAGGCTACACTGCCACTGGCTTCCGGAGAGGGAGACAGTCAATCCCCAAGCAGTGCTGCAAACAGCTGAGACTGGCCTCGGCCCAGAAGCCAGCTGGCTGGCCCTGCCCTGCCCTACTGGAGGCACCATCTCTGGTGAGCGTGGGCAAGTCTGCCCCTTATGCCATGGCCCCCTGCTTGTTCCCTTATCACCAGAGATCTGGACTGGGTTCAAGAGTTGGGTGGCCTCAAAGCCCAGGTAAGGAAGGGGGCTGGACAGGGAATAGGCCTTTTTATTTATTTTTTTTTTTTTTGGTGGTGGTGGTGGTGCTAGAGGTCAAACCCAGGATGAACCTTGGGCATGCAAGCGAAGAACTCTACCACTGAGCCACATCCCCAGCCCTGAAATAGGTTTTTTAAAGACTTTGCTGAATGGTGAAGAGGCTAGTGAATGCCTACATGGTTGTAGGCTGCAGAATATAAAGATGGGGGAGGGAGCTCCAGGGCCAGCAGCAGAACAGGGATGGGGAACAAAGATGGCAGATACACAGCACAGCCACAGGCCAGACAGCGCCCTGGTGCACCATGGTCCACAGCTGGTTTCTGAAGGCAAAGGGGCCATTGGAAAATGGGCCCAGCCAGGCCTACTGCTGACTGGACCACAGATCTGCTCTGTGTCTAGGGTTCTCCTTAGGCCCCTGTGGATCCTTCTCCAGTTGGTACCCTTACAAATGTTAAGTGAGGATCTATTATGGGCAAGAGAAACACACACCTTTCCCTCAGAGCTTATCCCTCAGCTGGGGACACGACATGAACATAATCATCCATGATGCAGAAAATGGTAAAGGCTACATAGAGGTGGAAGAAGCACCTTAGGGAGCTGTGGTCAACGAAAGTCTTGACCTTAACCAGCTGTGGTCAGTGCAAGTCTACAGTGGAACCCAGGTTCAAAGGAGTTGAAACAATTGGTACCCACCCATGGCGAGTCTCAGCCTCTATGAACCTCAATTTTTAAATCTATAAATGGAGACAATAATATCTGCCTTACGGAATCAGAGCCACCTTTTAGATGCTTATAGGGTTGTAAACCTCAAATATATGGAAGATACTTTGAACTTGAATAGTGCTGTAAGAGTTAAGCTTTTGTGTTATCAAGGTAATCAGCATCTCTCTAAGCCGCTTGGTCCGTGAGCCTGGGAGCCAGAGATCTGCTCACTGGGTTGCTGTTAGAGCAGAGCATGGACCCTGAGCCCCACACTTCCCCTTCAGAGAAAGTTGATATCCTCTCTCAGCTCTTGGCCAATCAATCCAATCAATCCAACAATATTTAAGGCCCATGGTTTGCATTTATAAAGCACTATGCCAGGGGCTGCCTGGAAAGAGAGGTCTGGAATCCAGAGTTCATTTCCTTCAGGGCCTGTCACAGAATTAGGGAGGCAGAATTAGTTATGCAGAAGACATAATTAAGCAGAGTGAGACAGTAATAGGGAAGAGCAGATAAAATCAAAACACACCCAAGTATGGAAATGTCACAATGGAACTGTGTATTTGGCACAATTAACGTATGTGAGTATTGTAGTAAAAATAAAAAGATGTAATTAACAATGCAAATTATGTAAGACCAGCAAATGTAAGCTGGGGGTTCACCAGCTCCAGTTCCACAGATCCCAGAGATTAAAAGGAGGGTGCTCTGGGAGAGGTTGAAGGAGGGGGGCCCGGCATCCTAGACTGAGAATTGGGGAACGAGATGGACAAGTCACAGGAAGGCCATGAGGGGAGCTGACTCAGGCCCCTTGGGCCAAAATGGCCACCTCCTGTTAGGGAGAGGAAGGAGCCCCAGTTGGGTACAGATGGCATGGGAGCCAGTGGAGAGGTTACGATCTGAGTGAACTCAGGGAATGCTCCTGTGCTGGTGGGGGTTTGCAGAGTGACTAGAGGGCAGACTGCAAGCAGGGTGCTCAGTCTGGGGACCAGTGGAGCCACTTAGATGTTCTGGATTGGAGAAACTTCTGAAGGGAGGGCGCCACATGCCGCATGGTGACACATTTCCCTTTTGGTTTTGGAAAGGCCAGTGAGCTGAATGGCCTGAATGCCTGAACCCTTGGCTTTGAGGCCTGACTCCTAGCAGTCACTTAGGCTGTTGGTGGAGGCTGGTCACACCTGGGCAGCTCACAATATCTAGTTCTTTTCTCCCCAGGTAGTTGGTCGGTGGCAAGTGGGCCACAAATAGGGTAGAGAGGATAAGGAAAACACAAGTTTAGTGCAAGGGTTCAGCATCAGGTGACATCCCAGTGCACTCTACCCCAAACCTGCTTCCAGGTCCATTTCCGGGGAGATTACCTACGGGGCAGTCAGTTGTGGTCAATGAATGTAAACTCGCTTGGCCCCTGACTTCCTGCTTCTTACAGGCACCATTTCGGTGCCCAAGTCCTCTCAAAAGCAAAATAAGGCAATTTGCTGCTCCAATCAGGAAGTTCCAGGAGCCCCACAGAAATCAGTTAAGACAGAGCCTGGGAGCCAGGAGGGGTGAAATACAAACTGTTAGTATGTTGTATAGCATTCTGGGACCAGGAGTCCCACTCTGAGCTCAGCGAGAACTAGTCTCTCTCCACTGAGGCCCAGCTGCATGACCAGGACCCTTGGTCCCCTAAGAAGAGGGAGCAAGTCTCCCACTCCATGGCTCCCTGAAGAGATTCTGCAAACTGAGAGTCCAGGACACTTGCTCCCTGGGAAAAGTGGGAAGACCCTCAAGGGAACAAAAGTGAACCCTGTGCACTCCTTGCCAGGCTCTGTCACCACCAGACCTCGGTTGCCAGTGCTCTACCCTGGGCTCTGGGGCAGGGCCTTGCTAGCTGGCTCAGAAAAGCTGGACTTTTCCAGCAAGTGAGGTCTTACTTGCTACCCCAAAGGCATTGCACTTCTGGGCAGATAAGTACAGCACTGTCTGTAAGGCTGTGAAGGGTTGGGGTGGCCATGGGGGTCAGGTGGTGTCAGCAGTGATGTGCCTCAGGATACTGGCTATTTCACAAGTGAAAGCATTTACTACTTGCCAGGCTGCGTGACAGATTCTGAGACAAGATGAGTGAGATGAATCCCTGCTCTTGATTCAGGTACAGTCTAAATGAGACAACTATTTAGGAAATTAATTAGGTTGGGTATGGTGGTGCACTCCTGTAATCCCAGCACTTTAGAGGCTGAGGCAGGAGGATCACTGCACATTCAAGGAAAGCCTCGGCTACATGGTGAGTTCAAGGCTAGCCTGAGCTGCATAGCCTGTCTTTAAAAAAAAAAAGTTAATTAGGCCAACTAGGATAAGTGATAAATGCATAATGGACTGTGGGTTAAAAAGCCACTCAGGATAGGCCTTTTGCAGAGAGTACGAAAGTCTTTCCAGAAGAAGGGACATTAGGTAGGACAGATTTTTTAAAATCTTTGGTCAGAAGCCACAGGGACTAGGAAAGATAGGACTTTTGAGGAGGAAAGTCCAGCACAGGTAAGACCCTAGGAAATGGCATGGTGAGGCCCAACTGCTGATGGTGAAATGGAACAGAAAGAATGGAGGGGAGCAGTGTGCAAGACTGTGGATTCAAATAGTCAGATTTCTTGAGTGGAAAAGCCTGCGGCTCAGAGGACCTGGACACGGGAAGCAGAGGCTAACTGCTGACCATCTGTAAACGCCAGTCTGGTGGGACGAACAGTCTAGACAGGGTACATTTTGGGGGTGGTTTTATAACCCCTGCTTTGTGAGTAGAGGTTACAGGAAAGAGGGCCTCAGAGAGATGAGTGGCTTGCCACCCCCACACAGCTGCAAGTGCCACCTGGGCCTCATCAGTAGCTCAGACTTTTCAGACTCCTTGACTAAGGGCACCCTGGTACCTCGAAGAAGGGGCCAGTGAATACAGGTAGTGTCATCCTGCCATCAGGAGCTTGACTATCTAGATGGGGCACAGGAGGATCAAGGGTGGGGGCAGTCAATGGTACACTCTTCCACAAGCCAGTAACTTCAGGGCCCTTTGGAACTTAAGTGTAAATTTTGGAGAAAATGGGAGTTCATGATGTGTCCCATGCCTACTGGGTTATTCAGGCAGGTGAGGCCACCAGAGACACAGATGGCCCTGGGGTTGGAGTCTCACAAAGCAGAGCACCTCCTCAGAGCTTCCCTCTGGCACCCCAGCTGGCTGTGCAAGGGGGGAAGGCTGGGCCCCCCAGGTCTGACTCACTGGGTATCCCCAAAGCTAAGCTCCCCATTCAAAACCAGCACAAGCCCCTGGGGAACTGGCACAAGCAAAACACAACAGGGACCCTGAAGAGTCAGGGGCCCAGGTCACCTGTCCCTAAGGACTTGCTTTGTCCTTTGAAGGCAGATCCTGTTCCCGAAGGGAGTAGGGTGAACAGGGAAGCTGAGCAGTGCTCAGAAATTGCCCTACATTCCATGGCCAGCCAGCTCCAGAGAGGCAGGCTGGAGGGCAAGGCTCAGGCCCTGTGCTGGCCCCTTTCCAGGACTTTGGCCCTTCCCTCCTCCAGCCAGATGGATAGGGAGGGGCAAACTCTGTGGTTCTGGAGAAGCTTTGCTTTGGGCAAAGAGACTCACAAAGCCAGAAGGCAAACTGAGAGTCAGTAGGACCCACCACCCATGTCCCCCTCCTGAGGTCCACTCTCTTCCAGGTCCCAGCCCCTGGCTCTTAATGGCGGTTCCCAGACCCTGCTCCTGACTCCTCCCACCGGCCCACGAAGTTAGACATTACTTGCCTGGTTAAGGAAAAGTAGTTAGAACCCAGGTGACTTATCCAACTTACTGGGGTCTGACTGGCTGCAGGCCTTTCCAGCCCAGGGAGCACAGCTCCCGGCACCATTCAAGGGTTTGTCACCTTAGCACGGGGTCCCTGACTCTTAGGAGGAAGAGAAGAGACACGCAGCTGTCTTTGCCACTTTCCCCAGAGCAGCGCTGCAGAGCAACACACAGGAAGAGATATCATCCACACATCCAGGGCCTCACCACCAGCCTCCACGTCTGGCTAAGCAAACATTCATTCCCCCACCACCACCACCCCCAATCAGAAAAGCCAGTGTGCACAGGGAGTAACTGGCCTGAGGTTTATCGCTCTGGCAACTCTGGGTGATTCACTGAGTTTAGACTCTAGGTTGTCATAGACCGGAGCACGCAAACAAACAGCTCGGGAGGTACCCTCCCCTTTCCCTGCCCGCCCCCACCTGGCTGCCCCTTGGCCCGTGACCGATGCCTCCCCTCCCCCTCCTGGCCCTCAGGGTTGAGCAAACACAGCCGCTGTCCTCCCGCCACCGCCACCAGCTGGCTCCACCGCGTGCTGCTGGCGATCCCCCAGGCAACTCGGCGTCACGAGAACCGGCACCCCGAGACCCAGCGCCCTGCCCTCCCCCGCGTCCCCAGGGCGGCCTGTGCCAGGCCCAACAAGCTCCAGCTTCTCGGTGCGCCTCGGCCCCTCGGGCCTCCGGCTAGTCAACCAGGCCCAGCACCAGGCCCGCCGAGGGCAGCACTGCCCATCTCCAGCTGGGCCCGCGTCTCAGGAGAAGGCAGCCGGAAAATCTCTTGTTTACTGTGCTAGGAAGATCCCAGGCAGGCTTTGCTTCCCCGTTTCTACGGTCCTTTTCAGCGGATTCCTGAGCCAGAGGGGCAACCCGCTCATCCACCCAGGGCAGGGAGTGGGATGGGGCGCGGGGAACCCGTACTCGTGGAAAGGTCCTGGGGCTGTCGGAAGGCCCGAACTTAACAGTGGAGGCCAACCTGGCCTGAAGCGCAGAGAAAGCGGGGGCCAGGCTCAACAATGCACTTCGGGGAGCCAAACTATGAACGCTAATTAAGACAAGTTGGAGCAGGAAACCGGGGTGCAGGGAGGGGAGCGCACCTCGGGTGGGCCGTGTCTGGAGTGGTCGCGAAACTCGAGCCCGGGGTAGGCAAGCTCTAGGCGACGTTTGCCCACGGTACCCTGCAGTGGATCTGGGCTCTGCCCCCACGAGGTTAGGGGCGTGCCAGTGGCATTCTCACGCAGTCTTGGCAACTGGGGTCTCGGGAAAGGCCCGCGCGCGGAAAAGGTGAACGCTTGGTGTGTGGCGGGTCCACGTGCGCAAACTCTGGAGGGAGGGGGCGCGACAAAGACGAACTTTGTGTCTGGGTGTGCGGCCCACTTCAGCCCGCAGCTGCCGACTGTGCCCCGCAAGTGTCTCCAGGGACAGCCGGGACGGAAGGGACAAAGGCTTGGTGTCTGCCACTGAGACAGCCGTGCCAAAGCAGTCCCTGCGCCAGTCGGTCGCTTGAGAGCTCTAGATGTGGGGAGCCAGAGCCTCCCAGGGGAGCGGGGCACGGGGAGCCGGGTAGCACCCCCAACCGCTTTCTGGAGAGAAAGCCTGCTCCGGTAAGGACGCGGAGTGTGCGCGCGCCCGCGGGCGGGGGGCGTGGCAGTAAACAGCAGGAACCCACACGTCCGCCCGGCCAGCAACTCCGAGCTGCGCTCCTTTCCCAGCCGGAAAGTGCGGCTCCCCGGCCTGGAGGTGAGTCGTACGGCGAGGGCGGGGCGGGCTTTGTTCCCGTGAAAGGGCTGGCACTTACCTGGAGCTCGGCGGGCGCCCGAGAAGCGCCCCGAATGCCGGGGATGTCACGGTGATGCAGGCCGGCCCGGCCTCGTCGAGAGAAAGCAGCGGAGCGCCGGGAGAGGCCGGCGCCGCAGCCAGCGACTCCGCGTGCCCAGCGCGGCGCGGGTCCCGGGGAGGCTGGCCCTGCGCCCAGCACCCCCGCCCGGGCCCCGCACCCCCGGCCAGCTGGGCCTGGCCGGGTGCCCCGCGGCGTCCGTCCCGCCCCCGCCGCCGCTCGGCCTGGGGCTGGAGTTGGCTCCAAACGCTGCGCCGGAGCCGGGCAGGCGGCGCATCCCAGGTAAGGGCTGCCGCCCGCCCCCTCCGCCCACTCCTCGGAAGAGTTGGGCCCGGGCTGGCAGGGGGTGGGCGAGGGCCAGAAGCCGGCGGAGGGGACCAGGGGGCGAGGACGCCGAGCCAACTCCACTTGGTCGTAGAAAGATTCCCAGCCCGACTCGGCTGGGGACGGGAGTTGGGGGAAGCCTAGCGCAGCGGCTCGGGGTGAGGGCGATGAAGGACTCCACAGTCGGTGCGTCCCAGGGTGTCCCTCACCTCCCGGCCCCTCTGCGCCAGTCCACGACCAGCGGTCTCCTGTGGGTCTATGTCCTCTCTCTCGGCTGCCCTGCTGTGGCTTGGGAGAGCAGTCTCTTCGGTCAGAGGAAATGTGGGAGAAGTGTTTGGCTCCCCTCTGCTTTTTGTTCACGCGTACAGGGGTGCGCAGGTGTGAGGCGGGCCCCAACAGCCCTGACCGGTGGGCAGGGAGGGCTTGGATCTCCCCACAGGAAGTTTGGAATGTCGGACTGTTAATGCACCTCTGCTTCTGGCAGCCCAGTGTCTAGGTCCATCCTCATCCTCCCTTTGCCAGGGCCCTTTCAGTAGTTTTACACCCAGGCAGATCTAATCATTTAAAACTCCACGATCTTTATCCTAGCGGAGACCAGAATGTGGCCAAGTAGAGTTTTGTGGCTTGACCCTCCCCACTTCCCCTTCCCCTTGAGTCTTCCAAGGCGGCTGGCGCAGGGAGGGGACTGCTGCTGGGGGTGGGGCGCATTCCAGAGTAACATTCCTGAGCAGACCCTTGCACTGAACACTTAAAAGCCTCAGAATGCTCGGGGCATTTTGACCCAAATTTCCACTTTTGGTGTGTGTATGTATGTGTGTGTGTGTAAGTGTAAGAGAGAGAGAGCATGAGAGAGACAGACAGACAGACAGACAGAACGGAGATGGGTTCTTCCCAGCACCAGCATCTCCAGAGCTCTTTCCTATGCCAGGGGTTAAACATCAAAGCCCCCTAGACATAGGGCAAATACACTTGACTAACAGGCCGAAGAGAGGGAGATGGAGGGTGAGATGAGAGGAGGTAGGAGGCTGGTGACCGGTCCATCTATCTCTCTGGGCTGACTGCTGAATAGGGGCAGCCAAGGAGGAAGGGGGATACTCTGACCATGCCCACCAAGAGGGGTTCTGATCAGGCACCGCACCTCTGAAAGCAACCCCTGGTTTTTCTCACTGTACCCGGAAGCTTGGCCACGGAACAGGGCTGCCCCCTGAAGTTCTTTCCAGGCTTTCTTGCAGATAAAGTGGGGTGCTGAAAGGGGTGTTCTTGAAAGATGTGGAGGCCTAGCTGACTGACTTACCTGGTACTGGGTGGAGCCAGTCAGGACCAGCTGGGCTTCAGCCCACCCTGGTGCGTGCGCGTGCACGTGTGTGTGTGTGTGTGTGTGTGTGTGTGTGTGTGTATATGTGTGTGTGTGTGTGTCCATCCCACAGAGAGAAAATAGGGAGGGAGAAGATTTGAGAACTGGATTGGACTGATTCAGACCAGAGCTGGGAACTGGGTGGCTGAGTCTGGGGAAAGGCCAATTTCAGAGACGATTTAAAAATATTTGTATGACTGATACCAGGGAATTGAAACAAAAGTGCTTTTTTGCTCAGAAAATGATCTGAGACTGGGCCTAAGTGGTAGGAGAGCATAGACTTCCAGGGCAGGATGTCCCTCACCCACTTCTGTCCTGGGATCCCCTGAGAACTTTCAAGCAAAAGCTATGAATCCAAAAGGAAGGAGGTGGGACTGGGTAGGGAGAGGGGAATCCCTTGTACATTCAGAGGACCATTGTCAAATGTCTGTTCAGACCCAACTGAGGGTTCCCGAGGCTGCTAAGTCTCATTTACCAGTCTCAGATGTACATTCTGGTAGAGGATGTAGGTACCGATGATTCAGATGTTCCAAATCCATGCCCTGGTCTAAGTGCAGGGCCTGGGGCTCAGCAGGAGGAAAGAAGGTGCTTGCAGGAGCCTGGGGAAGACCTTCCGGGCAGAGCTGTCCTTCTTGCTAGTCCCCTTGCCACCATCTTAGAAAGGCAGCAGTGACTGGCTGAATGTGCTGTCTGGTACCAGAGGCTTAGAGCTAAGCCCTCTGGTGTCTTCCTCTCTTGGACTCTCTACTGGTCTCTACAGGTTCCTGTACTAGGCAGAAAGAGTCCGGCCCAGTTGGCTGCATTTGTCCACCTGAGCCTGTGTATTTCTGTCTCCCATCTGCCCTCCTGTTTTCAGGGGAAGCAGAGAAAGGAGACATTTTAGGGCAGGAATAGGTTGCTTCATCTGAGGCTAGTATGTTACAGGGCAGCTGGGCAGCAGCATGGTTACTGCCATGGGGTGGGTAGTGGCTTGTTTGATTCCTTGGATTTTCCCACATGGGAAAGGAGGGGTGACAGGAAGGGTAAGTCCCAGGAGGAAGTTGTCAGCCAGTAGCAGAGTCAGGAGGAAATTGGGTGTGGGGGTGAAGCGTGAAGAGTTCTTGACCTAACCCTAGCCCGTGTCTCTGTGGAGTGCTGGGGCCAGCAGGGTATAGGCAAGTTTGATTTTTTTATAATGACCTGGCTATTATCAGTTGTGAACCGGTAGCATGGTTTAGTTTATTTGTTTGTTTGTTTGTTTTAGTTCTGAGGATTGAACCCGTGGTCTTGGCACTGAGATATGTCCCCAGCCTTTTTATTTTTTATTTGAGACAGGGTCTCTAAAGTCACTAAGTTGCCCAGGCTACATTCAAACTTTTCCATCCTCCTGTCTAACCCTCCCAGAATGCTGGGATCACAGACGAAGCTCAAAAATCAGATCTGTCCCCTTGGGGTGACAGGTTCCTTGTTTGGAATAGTGGCCCATTCAGCACGAGGACCTGGCCCAGGTAGGTGAGGTGAGAAGCTGTCTCCGCAGTTCTCTGTGATCAGTTCCACACTTCCATCTGCACTCCAATTCCTGGGTGGCTCACTTGCACCAAAACCTGCACAATGGAGTTGAACCTGCATGTTATCTATAAATTAACTCTAGGAATAGCTCATTATTACTCCATACACATTAGTCCTTCCTTCCCAGCTCTTTTATAGACTTGTGAGTACACAGAAGTCCTACGCGAAGGACCATCACAAAGGTTTAAGTCATGGAAATTGAGGGGAGGGAAAAGAAATTAGTGTTACAGTGTCAGTGCTTAGGGAAACAATAAATTTTCGCAAGAATATTACATTAAGGTTTAATGGACATGGTTGTTGAGGATAATAAGCATAGCTGAAGGATGAGGAGGTACCTAAAATATGTATTTTCAAAGGATAGGAAGATTTGAACATTGATCATTATCATGTCAACTGTACAAGTTTCATTTTTACTGAGTTAGTAAGCATTTCCCACTTATCAGCTACTATGACGAAATGATTCTTATTGACTGAGATTTGAGGCCTTTGTTTACTTACTACAAATTAAGTAGCTAGGAATGGTGAAACATGGGAGGGAAATAAACTACAAAACACCTCCTCACTCCACAGCGCCGCCAAGAGGAAGGATTCGAAGACAGATAATGCCGTTCCCCTGCCAGCCACTAGTGGTCGCTGTCAGCCCAGGAAAGCTTGGTTGCTTTTTGGAACCGTCCTCCTGGTGAGGTGGAAAAGGCAGGGCTAAAACCAGGCACAGTATTTGAACACACAAGGTGACATAAATGTGGAGGACTTGCGTTTCATGGAATTTTGGACCTTATACTTTGCTTTTTAGAGAATTTCCTTTTACTAGGAAAGCTCACAGATTTGGTCTCTGTGTACTTACTTGCAATAGCTGGGTATCAAATCTCAGGCCTCACACACACCTGGTACTGTATCACTAAGCTGCATCCCTGTCACCTCTTTAATTTCTCATAACCTGTAAGATCCTTTACCTCCACTTCACACAGGGAAGACCCAACAGGTGTGGAGAGTCAGGGTTTGGTTTTCTTAGGTGCAGATGCACAGCATTTGGTGGGCTACGGTGAGCAGATGGAGTAATAAAGCGTCTTCATGGTGTTAATAAAAGATCCTGTCTGGCTACAAGGTCTTGAAGTCATCCATTTAAGATGAATTCCTTTGGGTTTTGCTCTGCGATTGCCTGGTTCTTGCTTTTAAAATGTTAATGCCTCATGGGAGAATTTTTGCATGAAGTCATTAACTCCTTAGCAAGAGAATTAGTTTATTTTATCCTTGACTTGAGAATCTGAGCCAGACAAAGAATTCTGTATTCTGAAGAGAAAAGTGGGCATTGAAAGTGGGAGAAATGAAGGGTAGAATTAAGAGCAGGTAGGAGAGATGAAAAGTTGATAAATACAAATTTCTGGCTATCTTTTGTTTTGACTCAAGGTTATGTTTTCCATGGGTGCTTGTTCAGTACTTGTTGAGTGGTAAGTGATTGAATGAAGGAAAACGTGGCTGGCTAGCCCTGGACCACCAAAATATCACCAGGACAGATGAAGCAGTGCATGGGTGGCGTGCTTGGTTCTGACTTGCTCATACGCCCTTTCGCTCCTCCTGTAGCCACAGGCCCCCAAGGAATATTTGAATCCGGGTTATGGTAGGTGAAAAAGAAAGAACTGAAAATCCAGTGACGTCCAATTGCATGGTTAGAAATAGGGGTGACAAATGAGTTTTATCTGGTTAACTGGTAGATACTCCTGAGTTCTGTGTTAAGAAGGATTCTGAAGTCCAAAGGAAGTCTCCCGGCCAGTCAGGACTGTCTGCTTTGGCTCAGGATGGAGGAGGCAGTACCAGCATGTCGGAGTCTGGCTTTAGAGAATTGACTGATTTTGCCTCTTCCCTTTCTGTTTCTAGGGGCCCATCTGGAACCTGGCCTAGGAGCCAGGATGGCCACCCACAAGGCCTTGCTGACGTGCCTGGGACTCCCTCTCTTCTTGCTCTCGGGGGCCCAGGCCCAGAAACCTGCCCCACCAGGCTGTAGCTCAGACCTCAACTCCCTCTATTACAACCTGTGTGACCGCTCCGGGGCCTGGGGCATTGTCTTGGAGGCCGTGGCTGGGGCAGGTATCGTCACTACCTTTGTGCTCACCATCATCTTAGTGGCCAGTCTCCCCTTTGTCCAGGACACAAAGAAGAGAAGCCTGCTGGGGACCCAAGTGTTCTTCCTGCTGGGCACCCTGGGCCTCTTCTGCCTTGTGTTTGCCTGTGTGGTGAAGCCCGACTTTTCCACCTGCGCCTCTCGGCAGTTCCTCTTCGGGGTCCTGTTTGCCATCTGCTTCTCCTGCCTGGCGGCCCATGTCTTTGCCCTTAACTTCCTGGCCCGGAAGAACCATGGGCCCCGGGGCTGGATCATCTTCACTGTGGCTTTGCTGCTGAGCCTCGTGGAGGTCATCATCAACACCGAGTGGCTGATCCTCACCCTCGTGCGGGGAGCTGGCAAGGTTGGCTCTCCGGGCAACGGCAGTGCTGACTGGGCCGCAGCCTCCCGCTGTACCATCGCCAATGTGGACTTTGTCATGGCGCTCATCTACGTGATGCTGCTGCTTCTGGGGACCTTCATGGGAGCCTGGCCTCCCCTGTGTGGCCGCTTTAAGCGGTGGCGTAAGCACGGTGTCTTTGTGCTGCTTGCCACAGCCACCTCCATTGCTATCTGGGTAGTGTGGATTGTCATGTACACCTACGGTAACCAGCAACACAACAGCCCCGCCTGGGATGACCCCACGCTGGCCATTGCCCTGGCGGCCAATGCCTGGGCTTTTGTTCTCTTCTACGTCATCCCCGAGATCTCCCAGGTGACCAAGGCCAGCCCAGAGCAGAGCTACCAGGGAGACATGTACCCCACCCGGGGCGTGGGTTATGAGACCATCCTGAAAGAACAGACGGGCCAGAGCATGTTCGTGGAGAACAAGGCCTTCTCCATGGATGAGCCAGCCTCAGGTGGGTTTTTGATCCTCTCAGGTCTTCTTCCTGTGGCCCACACACTTCCTGCAGGGCAGGGAGCTTGTCATCGAGGCCATATGGACAGCTCTTAAAGTTTTCTGATTTAAAATACCTACACTGTGGAGCTGCCCATGTAGCTCAGTGATAGAGTGCTTGCCTAGCATAGGCACATGAACTGTAACACTCCCATTAACGGGACATGGCGGCACAAACCTGTAATCCCAGCACTCAGGAGGCTGAGGCAGGAGGATCGCCACAAGTTTGAGGCCAGCCTGGGCTACCTAGTGAGTTCAAGGCCAGCCTGAATTACATAGCAAGACCCTGTCTCATAAAACAAACAAAAAATAATCAGCTTACAAAGGGCTTCGGGGCCATTTTAGATCTAAACTGTAACGGCTGTCACAGACTCACACAGGACCATTAGCATTGTATAGCATAGCATAGCATAGCATAGCATAGCATAGCATAGCATAGCATAGCATAGCATAGCATAGCATTGAGCCTTCGCTGCATGCCAGGTCCCATGCTCAGCTCCTGGTGTGGGTATTTTATGTGTTTCTTACCCTGACTGCACCCCTTCCTTACCTGGTGTGAAAACTGCCCCCATCCTAGGCTCTTGCTGTCAGTCAAGATGCTCGAGGCCCTGAGCTTTTGGTTCTTTGGTTACCTTAAGCTTCTGACTCTGGGGTCCCTGCTGGGGGGTCAGAGTCAGGAAGGGGAAGTTCGAAATGAGAGGAGCCCCTGTCTTTGCTCTTCACACTGTGAGATCCTCATCATCTGAGCTTTAAGAAAAAAAGTGTCACTCGTCCTACTGGGCACTGCAATCCACCCTCTGGCCCTCACAGAGTGGGTCACAGAGTGTGCAGGGCAGTGGGAGGACCAGCAGGAGAGAGACAGCGAGGAACAAGCCTGGCCCCACCACCACGCACTCCCCTGAGGCCTGCTGTCCAGCCAGAGAGCGCTCAGCTTTTCTCCTCCCTTATAAATACCTCTGGGCTGGGAGTTTGTTTGTCCCCCCCCCCCCTTCTCTAAATGGAAAAAAGATCAGTAGTATGAGCCCAGCACCGAGAAGCCCCCTCCAGGTTGTGGTCCTTCGGTCCTACAGGAGGGACAGCACTGTGCTGCCACCACCCTCCAGGTCTGCTCCAGGGCCGGTCAGCAACTTTGCTCCAACACCTTGGGGTACCCATCTGGGTGGAACAGATTGGGAGAAACCAGTGCCACAGGCATAGAAAAGTATTCTCCAAGCTGCAGATGGTTCTGAAACCTTGCCTGGGGGGCTGAGGAGGGATGATCTTGGTCTCCTGGCCAGGTCCTGGGCTGGTGTGGAGGGGCCTAGGCAGCCAGCCCTGCCCTGTGAGGAGGACATGGAGGTTCTTGGTCTGAGAGGCTCAGCTGTGTTTTCTCCTGGCAGCGCCTGGTAGCTGACCTGTGGCGGTAGAGATTGGAGCCAGCCGCTGGCCATCCTGGAAGGCAGCCCAAGACCCAAGCACCCCTGTTGGCCTCTGGCCCTGAGGGCGGATGGGGATGTGAAGTTTGCTGACTGGGCATTTTTCTGAGCTGTTGGCGGCAGGGGGTGGGGTGGGGGGTAGGGACCGGACAGACGACCAAGCAATGTTGTGATCTTCTCTGTATCCGTACAAAAGGGCACTGAGCTTAGGGACACCCCCAACCCAGCCTCACCTCCCAGCCAGCCACTCCTGGGTGAGGTGGGTGCCCTAACCCCGGCTCTTTGGGTCCCTGCTCCCCTATGGGAGGTGAGAATGGAGGCTGAGAGTCCAGAGCCCTCACCCTGTGCCTGTCTGTTCTCACAGCTAAGAGGCCTGTGTCACCTTACAGCGGCTACAATGGGCAGCTGCTGACCAGCGTGTATCAGCCCACCGAGATGGCCCTGATGCACAAAGGCCCGGTAAGTGGCTCCTAGGCTCCTCATCTGGGGCTCCACCAAGAACACCCTAGTGCTTGCCACCCTTTTCCTGGCTCTGACGTAGCTACACTGACTACACTGCAGTGGTGCTTGCCCTGTGTCCCTGGGCATCACACACAGTCTGGGGGAGCGGCCAGACCGAGAGGGACATAGAGTCCTCAGGTAGATGCTCCTGAAAGTGACGGGCCCAACAGTAGCAGGTCTGGGTAGGTATTTATCTCAACCTCAGCTGTCTCAAGAGGGGACACATCCCTTCCCCCTGCCAGCCACAGCAAGGCCGACTTAATACCTCCCCAAGGCTCTGGAAGCCAGATGCTCCATTAGCCAAGGAACAGGGGGTGGGAACAGGAAGGCGGTGGGTGAGATTCCCACTGCTTGTGTATCCTTCCTCCCGGCTGGCAGTGGCTGTGGGGAGAGGTCGGTGACCTGCTTTGGCAGAATGCTGGGAAAAGGAAGCCCGGAGGTCAGCAGGGCCTGTTCTCATCCCCTCCCCACCTCCTGCCTGGCCCTGGGAGGGACTGGGTGGCTCTAGTGTCTGAGACCTCATCCCAGCCCTTCCCTTCTCCCTAAGCCTGACCCTGGCCAGACGGCCGTGGCCTGCAGCTGTGGTGGGCAGCAGCCGTGCACCCCACAGGGTATGGGCAGCCACGGGGCTCTTTCCTTAGGAGCCATCCCCCTGCCTCCCTTGCTGACCCTCTCCCTCCCCAGTGTGTTTAGAGGATGATCTGCGCCAGGTGGGATACTTTCTCTGCCTGGTCTTCAGACCACTGGAGTTAGCATCGCCTGAGAACTTGCTGAAAATGGAGATGGGGTGGGGCCAGAGCTGGGCGAGACGCTCGGCACTCCTTGGCATTGCCTGGTATTGCTCCTTGGCATTGCTGTGTCACCTGGTAGCTTGGGTCCCACCACTATAGGTGTAACTCCGGCAGATCTGCAAACAGCCTCAGGCTCCCTTCTTCCCCACCCTGTGGATAAACATTTACCAGCTTCCCTCCCACGGTGGGGCCCAGCTCTGAAGGGGTGTGGCTTAACTCACAGTGCTGGCCCGGGTTTGAGACCACTGACCTACAAGTCCCTGGGACAGCAGGAAGCAGGAGATTGCTAACAGGTGGAGACGGAGGCCAAGGCTGGGTGAGGCCCTGCGGCCAGGGGTTTGGCGGCTGATGTCTTCCACCAGGAAAAGGGGCCAGGTGGGGCCAGGAGGTCACGTTCCTTCCAGGTGGGAGCTGGCTGCCCCAGGACCCTGCCCAGATCATATGGGCTTTTAGTCTCGGAATCCAGCTGGCCAGCCCAGACTGCCACCCCAGGGCTGTGTGGTGATGTCCAGCGCATCCCTCATAGAAAGGCGTCTGGTGTCATAGTGACATTCAGGGGGTTCTCAGGTAAGGTTCACCTAGGAGTAGTACCAGACGGCTGACAGCCACTCAGCGCCTATGTAGGTCCCCTCCCTGGGCCTTGAGATTTTCCTGAAGGATGAGGTGGGGGGGCTGAGAGGAGAGGTCCCCTCTCTGAGAAGGCCCTAGGAGGCCTTGTCCCATGCCCAGAGACAGGGGCTTCCGGTCAGCCCTAGATTCCAAGAGTGCAGGGGTCCATCTCAGCCTGCCAGTGGAGCTGGGCAGGCATGGAGGGCAAAGGGGACGAGAAGGGGGAGCTGGCAGGCAGAAGCCTGCAGGAAGCAGGGTGTTTGTGCATCCGTCCTGGCGGAGCCTGGCTCCCGGTCCCCCTGGCTGTGAGGCTGCCTGTTCTTCCTTCCAGACCGAAGGCCCTTACGACGTCATCCTCCCCCGGGCCACTGCTAACAGCCAGGTGATGGGCAGTGCCAACTCGACCCTGCGGGCTGAAGACATGTACATCATCCAGAGCCACCAGGCAGCCACGCCAAACAAAGACGGCAAGAACTCTCAGGTCTTTAGAAACCCCTACGTGTGGGACTGAGGCCGTGGCTGTGGCCAGCAGAGGTGGGCAGATTTAGGGAGGGACCCCAGGAGTTCTGCGGCTCCCCTTCCCTGTGCTGGCTCGGGGCAGTTTGTGTCTCAGAGCTTTGAGGTCTCCTTGCCCACCAGTGTTCTGGTGGGTATCCCGGGCCCCCCATCCACTCAGTGTTTGTGGAGTCCAGGAACCAGCCCAGCTGCATGAAGCCGAGGCCACTCTGGCAGCCTGGCTCCAGCCAAATAGCGTTCTTCTTGGGGCGGTGGCCGGTCCGCGCCTGCGTTCTCCTGAGATGCCTGTGGCCTCGGGGTCTCAGAGCGGGTGCTTCGGGCCTGGGTCTTGCTCCTCTGTGAGGAACAAGGGTGCCTAATAAACATGTTTCTGCTTTATTACTCACGCCCTGGGTTCGTGGTTTCTGAGGGAGCCTCCAGCTCCATGAGACACTCTTTGTTCGGCACAGGCAGTGGGACCCTCTTTCCCTTCCCTCACAGTGCAAGCTGCTGCTGGAGTCTCCTGCCATTAAGGAGCCTGCACACACAGCTGTGTACAGCAGTGCACAGATCTGTAGGAGGCCAAGGCAGGAGGATCATGAGTCTGAGCCCAGCCCAAGCAACTTAGCTGCATAGTGAGAACCAATTTAAAAGACAGAACCAAACACCTCTGGGGGTGTTGCTCAACATAAAGGCTCTGGGTTCTACCTTCAGTACTGCAAAAGGAGGGGAAAAAAAAGAGCCTGGGGCAGGATTCGTAGCGGAGGGCTCCTGCTTCCACAGGGACTGCAGAGTGAACACTTAGGGCTTCACTGGTGCCTTGGATACATGTAAACCCACATCTGGGCTTGTATGACCTAGGCAACTTTCCTTGGGGACCCCATCACTGGCTGTATGCGGGGACAGACAACAGGGAAGGCAGACCCAGCAGTAGCTCTCAGGTGGCAGGGCCAGCTGATCTTAGCTCCTCCAGACAGAGGAGAGAGGAAGTGCTTTGGGGCAAGGTAGACAGTTCACAGTGCTTCGTGCTGTGAGGTCACACTGTGCAGTACATGGATGCAATGGCTCAGAGCACCCAGCGTTGTTTGTAGTGTGAGTGTACGAAAGTGGGAAGGCCTGGCCGGTCCACGTGTGTCAGGGATTGAAATGTCCGTTTGCTCTGTACTCAGCAAACGCCGTTCCTCAGTGGTTTAGTTAATCTAAACGATGTAAAGCGCGACTGAGCTAAAATCCCAGGATGGCGTCATTTTAGGGTTAAATAGAGCCTTAGGAATAGTTGTTTTGTTTCACCTTTGCCTAGCTCTTTATCGGTAAGCAAGGTGACCCAGAGAGGCCACACCACCTCCAGGTGGCCACACCAAGGCTGCCCAGCTTTTCTCACAACTGATCAGCACCTTTCTCTCTGGTCCTCCTGGGGCAGCTGGTGGGTTGCCGTGGCCTGGCCTGTGGGCGGCTGTATCTTAGCTCTTGGTCACCAGTTTCAGGCCTTTTGAGGTTCTCTCCAACTAGTCAGAAGCTGTTTTCTGACACCAGTTGTAAAACAGAAATGTTTCTGCTGAAAAAACGAGAAAGGTGTCTGGAAGAAAATAAAACACCTCCCAAGCGTCTGCTTCTGTGTTCAGATTGTACCAGGCCCGGGGACTGAAACATTTATTGACTTTTTTTTAGTAAAAACCAGTACTTGGGCCCTGACCTGTAAGGTTCCTCCCTTTGACTCCTGCTCTTTCTGGTTACTTTAGGCTCAGTCTCCACAAACTAAAACGAGATGGTAGATGTCCTCTTCCCTGGACCTCACAGCATCCTGGTGTCCTCACTCCTCGGGGGCCAGGCTGGGCAGAGCCCAGTACTTTTCGTGTGTCCTTGTCATTGGAGCTGGGAGGGACCGGATGCCACCAACCTGCTGAAGTGGACAGAATGGAGGCCTGTGAAGGCCTGAGACATGTGACTGGGCCTCTTAGGGCCACCTCTTTTCTGCCTGGCCCTGCCACCACAGCTAAAAGGAGCTGCCTGCAGACTCCTCACTCCCTCTGATACCCCTTGCATATCACAGCCCCCATGTCCATGTCTCTAGACAACCACTCTGCTGTGAGCAGCAGGCCTCAGCTCCCCATCTTGACACTGGACCCTTGTGGCCTGGCCATCTTGGTGCCCAGCATCAGCTCATCCTACTCTGCACTTGGTGGATCACCTGCATGAGGCTTTGAAGCCCAGCCATGGTAGAAGTCATGCCTTGCCCTTCTCTTCAGGGTCGTTTGCTACCACCCGGACCATGGAAGGCCACTGAGCAGGCCGAACAGGTGCTGCTTCTCTTCCTGGCCTGTGGGTCCAGGTCTAAGCCTCTGACTCTGGCCAGGCCTCCCTTGGGTCCACTACTAAGCCAGCGTCAACCTGTCCTCCACCTCACCAGCTGGCCCCAACCAGGGAAGCTCTCATCATGCAGAGACACCCCATGGAGCACCCCACAGAGGAGCTGGGGAGTTGGTAGTGCACAGTGACCTTAGGAGCTCAGCACCACTTCTGTGGCTCCGTCCTTCTTGCTGGTGTCTTTGCTCTTCTCAGCCAGCTGGGAAGATGGTTCTTGACAGGTAGAAGTGTAGATGCCCCTGAGTTAACCTGGATCTCACAGGTTCTGGGGAGCAGTGGGGGCCTGGCGTGGCTTCCTGGCCACCTGGCTAGGGCCTAGAGGCATCTTTAGGAGACACAGGGTAGGGATCAGGGCTGCTTTCTCAGGAACCAGGCCCCTACTGTGACTGAAACTCACAGGATGTTTGGAAGCCCCCTAAAAAGTGGGGTCCATCCCTGAAGACTGCTGGTTCTGATTGGCAGATGTCTTAAGCTCCTACCTCACCTTGGGCATCCGGACATGCTGGTGCTACCTTCGTCACTGGATGGTTCTGATGGCAGCCAGGGGAGAGGGGCCATTCTCAGGACCTGCATGACGCTGGCACCAAGGACAGAGATGGGCACAGCTCTAGACTCTTGGGACTCAGGTCTGCACAGTATCTCTTCCCTTTGTCCTGTCCTTGGGTACCAAACAGAGCTGGCTCCTCCACGGGGGGCTGGGTGTGCCCTGGAGCTAAGCCCCAGCCCAGTATTGTCTCTGAGTGCAGAGTGGGAGGTGAGGACAAGCAGCTTTGCAGGCAGGGCCCTTCAGTCAGCCCACGTCTGCAGTGCCACCCTCCTATCTCTGACAGCCTGTGTCTCTCTCACTGGAATAGTTTTGCAGATCTAAACTGAGTGAACAGTTCCCATGAACAGGACTGCACCCTACCTGCCTTCCTCCATTGTATGTGGTTGCTCCGTTCCACAAACAGTTCAAGGATTTGTCTGTATTTACGTAAAGGAACAAGACATGCCACACCAGTCTCTAGATGAGTGACACCAAGGTCCCTTACAGTGAGCAGAGGTGTGACCTTGCTGTTCCAGAGTCCCTGGCTGCAGGTGGCCTGGGATGAAGCCTGCTATGGATGTGGGTGTGTTTATAGCTTGAGTCCTCTGGAATCTGTGGGTATATTCAGAGGGATGAGCTCCTAGAATACACATCTGCCCAGATTCCAGAGTGTCCACTGGTCTTGCATCTCCTAGTTCTGGGCTGAGGGAAAAACATAAATGAATTTTATTTTAGTTTAGTTTACTTTTGTTTTGAGATGGGGTTTTACTCTGTAGTTCAGGCAGGCCTTGAACTCAAAACAATCCTCCTGCCTCAGCCTCCTGAGTGTTGAGACTATAGGCGTGCAGCATCGCACCTGGCAATAGGTGTGTTTTAGGAAAAGAGATTCTTTGTATTGCACACAAACCTGGAATGGGAAGAAGTGAGAGCAGGCCATTTCCTGAAGGTTCTCACCTCAGGACCAGCGCAAGGTAAATGTGGCCCCACCACATCAGACCTGGTAGCTAGGAGCGGAGGGATTTCAGCTTCACAATTGCACAGAATTAAACGACTGTCCTCCATTTGTGAGGAGCCACTGCCACTGAGTCCCTGCATGTTCGTGAGGAATTCTGGGATGTGTGGGATGTGAGTGTGTGTGTGTGTGTGTATTTGTTTCTCTCCAACCCCAGACCTCCGCCCTCAACAGCAATCGAGGTGGCTTGATTCTCACACACCGTTCTCTTGGTTGGGGACTTAATCTAATGGGGAAAACCAGGTCTTCAAAAGACACTGAGATCTTATCCAGCCAAACCCAGAGGCGGGTGACCCCACCTAGGGTGTGAGAGAGACAGGCAGAAGAGGGGACACCCTGATAGTAGCCCGCTACTGCCTGACCTGGTGTGGGGAGCAACTGAGAGCGTGGTGGGTAAAATACTCTATCCTCAAAGAGGCTCCGTGGGCCCAGGTCTGGAGGACCTGCCAAGTCTATGTCCAGCTTTCCGGCTGGCTCCTGTGGCCCCTCACAGACCATGCAAGAAACAAGAAATGGACAGGTGAAAGGATTCATCTTTGGGGACGCAGCTGGAGGGAAGGGAGACTGTCAGCCTTTCTATCCCTTCTCATCAAGACTAATGCTTTCCCTGTCCCCCGAGGATGGCCAGGTCAGGAGCAGGTGCCAGTGATCAGACCGCTGTCTCCACTCTGGGCCCTCAGGGAGCTGCAGCCCCGGCTCAGAGCGGACACATGAATTATTTAGCATCTGCTCCAGCCTGGCAGCACTCTGACCTCATCCTCCTTGGGCCCTGGGTGTGGCTCTGACCTCATCTCCTGGAGAAAGGGTGGCTGCTGATGGGCAGAGGTGGTGGCGGGGGTTGAGGTGGGGACCAGAGACTCAGTTGCCCTCATAGCAGGAGGCTGCAAAGTGGAGAGGACCTGACACTGTCATCAGGCAGACGTGTTCAGATGCTGGCTCTGACTAGTTCTACGGCCTAAGGCGATTCCCTTAACCCTCAGTCACCTCATCTTGAAAGTGGAAGAACCATTATTGGCATTCTAGCCTAAGGTAACCCCTGTGAGGGTGCCCAGGGGGTCTGGTCCAATGTGTCCTTCCCAGGCCAGCCGGCCTGAGGGCCACACCTCACAGTTAGCTGGCCCTGGCGTGCCATATCTCCCCTTTGCTCTGAAGTGGGTGCGATGGAAGTTTTAGTACTGGACAGGATTGTTAAGGAGAGGGACAGACTGTGGACAGTGTCCTGATCAGCAAAGGAGAGAAGCAACTCTAAATTTGGGTGGAATGAGCGGGGTGTGGCAGTGCACTCCTGTAATCTCAGCACTCAGGAGGCTGAGGTGGGAGGATTGTGAGTTTAAAACCAGCCTGGGCTACAAAGTGAGCTCAAGGCCAACCTGAGCTGCAAAGCGAGACCCTGTCTCAAAAAGACAAAGAAACATGTAGTTGGAGCATGGCCTGGACAAACAGAAAGTTGAAAAAGCCAGGTTGGGGAGCTGGGATCAAGCTGACTTTGGTCCTTCAACAAGTGTTCTTTGAGCACCTACCTTGGAGACACAGCAGCAGGTGAGCTCTGGCCCTGCCCTCTTGCCAGGTCTGATCCAGGGGTCTATGTGGAGGCAGTGTTGATGGTTGGGCGGGGGCATTTCCAGGCTGCACCTCCCTGCCCAGCAAGGCGGTCTCAGGTCCTGTGTGTCTCTGCCAGGCTCTGCCTAAGCTGGAGTTAGGGATCCCCAGGAGATGGGAGGGAACTCAGCCCACAGGGCTGGGCTGTGGATGTGCTCCAGCCTCATTGGGGAGGAGGGCAGAGCCCCCCCTGGTTGACCCTCGTCCAGAAGAGCTGGCTCCTGGGGGTGAGGATGGGTGTACCTGCCAGCTGCTGCACGGAGAAGGTGAGCCTCCTGTCTGCAAGCTCAGCAGCTCCCCACGCCCTCTGACAGCAGCAGTGGCCCCTGGGAGGGCTTTATGGGGTGGCCAGACTGACATTCTGGGTGTGGGCTAGGCAGAGTGCACTGGGCTCTGGAATCTACTGCCACCAGATCCCAGGGTCAGCTGTCCCTGCCCCTTCCCAGGCTAGTGGCCAGGGTGCTCCCATCCCCAGAACCTCTGTCTCCAGACCTTACAGGATTGCAGTTGTTTATGTCCTTTCCCTGTTGTGGGGGTGACACCTGACCAGAACCTAGGTCACTGACACTTGCGGGGATCACTGTTTGTGGTGGGGGCTGTGCACTGTAGGATGCTGGTGATGTCCCTGGCTCCTCAGAAACACCATCGCCCTCGGTAGTACCCACCAAAAATATCTCTAGAACTGGCAAATATCCGCTGTGGGTGAACTCCCTTGGGCTGTGGTCAGTCCTCTAGGGGATAATAGGGGCCTGTGAGCCAGTCACAGAGCAACCTAGGTTCTGACGCCTAGGATTCCCTCTTCCTTCTTTCTGCCAATCCACCGCCACTTCAGGCCACCTGGGGACTGTGGCCTTGGTCATAACAGTTGGGCAGCATGTGGCTTTCTTCTCTCTCTGTACAAACACCTTCTCAGCCTCTGTCTGAATTGGGTGCTAAAAGGGTCATGGGACAGGATGCCAAGGTCACAGGCTGTTTCCTGTCACTAGGTCAAGCATCTGGGGCACAGGGAACCCTCAGGCAGCAGGGGCCCAGCTGCAGGTCACACCAGGGGCAGACAAGACATGGCAGGGCCCAGGCTCTGTCCTCTTAACACCAGGAAAAGGCCCCCTTTCACACACCCACGTACACACAAGGTGGGAAGAGACCCTCAGTCTCTGCGACAGGTCCCTTCGGGGTGCTCAGCAGAGCCAGGTGGAGCAGAGGCAGGTGGGGGCAGGTGCTGCTGGCACTCCCCCCACCCCACAGGGGAAGCAGAGATTTGAGAGAAACACAATCCCACAGTCAAAGGGCACATTTTACTATTTTTCCCTCCCCTGGTATAGTAACATTTGTCTGTATTTACATAAGGGAAATGGAAGACCTGCAACACAGGCGAAAGGGCCCAGGCGTGTCCCTGGAGCCGGGTCGATGAGGGACACGAAGACCTGTTCCTCTCCTGCATCCGCTCCTTCCCCTCCCCCTCATGTACGTAGGTACGCAGGTCGGTACTGTTACCCAGTATTAGAGATTGAATCCAAGGCCTTCCTGCTGGCCCAGCCCCAGCCTTTTCTTCTGGTGGAGGCAGGGTTTTGCTGGGTCATTAAGTTGTCCAGGCTGAGCTCGGAGCTGCCTACCTTTTTGTCTCAGTTTCCCAGAGAGCTGGAATTATGGACATGTTCCACCATGTCCATTCTTCCCTTTTTCTCTTTCCTTCTCTATGAAAACAACGCACATTCTAATTAGGTAATTATTTTTTTCTTTTGCTTTGTTTTTGAGACAGGGTCTTGTTATGTGTTTTAGGCTGGCCTTGAACTCCCTGTGGAGCCCAGGCTGCCCTTGAACTCATGATGATCCTCCTGCCTCAGCCTCCGAAGCACTGGATTATTATAGGTGTGTGGACCTGGCAGTACTGAAGTTTGAACTCTGGACTGTTGCATGGAGATACATCCCTAACCCTTTTTTATTTTTGATTTTGAGACAAGTTTTTACTAAATCACTCAGTCTGGACTCAAATTTATAATCCAACCTCAACCTCTTGAGCTACCAGAATTATAGTGGTAAAATTTATTTAGTTATTACATATGGGGATGGAGCTCAGGGCTTAGTGCTTGCCTGGTGCATGTCTAACATTGTCACTGAGCAATAGCACCAACATTAAATTGCATATCTAAAAAAATCAAATCATAATTTAAAAGAATAAGAAGGTGCAAAGGAGCCCCTGAGTGTAGCAGTGGCCCCTCTGTGGCCTGAGTTGCCCTGTGTCCTTGTTCCAGCCTTGACAAAAGCCAAAGGAACAGGGATTGTTGGAGACACCTCTCCTGCTTTATCTTTCCCTGCTATCAGGATCACTAGCTGTCACCCTGCCCAGTGTTTCTGGTTCATTAACCCACACCCCCAGGATTTTGGAAGAGGCAGAAGACCAACGTCTGGCGATGGGCATGTGCTCAGTCTCCGGCGGTAATCCTACCCCATCTCAGCCCTGCTAAACAATGGCAGTTCTGAGCGACTGAGTTCAGATTCTGTTCCTGCAACAGGTTGGTGAATGGGCGCCTTTTTTTTTTTTATTATTATTATTTTTTTTTAATTTTTATTTAAGGAGAAAAGAAAAGAAAGAAAAAAAAACAGTGAAGGGGTACAAGTTATACAGATTTACAGAATAAAAAAATGCGCAGTAGGAAATCACTAGTTAATGGATTACATATTGCCATCTTAGAAATAATTGTTCAAGTCACAAAATTAAAGCTTGTAGAGTGGACATTCCACCAATGATACTGCAAACAGTTCTGTTCAATGATCCAATAAAACTCTGTGATATCATTTTCTATCTTATACTTTTAAATATACATGCAGTTATATAGTTTAGAGCACTTTCTTTTCCTCTCTTTTGTACAGTGACTATTACACATTTTGGGTTTCATTGCTCCCACGGTTCTTGTTGCTTTTTTGGAAGAGAGTAAAACCAAATGTGACATAATAGAACAGAATCGGTCAAGTCAAAAGGGTGGACATAATAGATAATATAAAAACATAATACAAGGTGATCAACAATGGTTACCCTAATGCCTCCCGCTATTTCTAATAGAATTGCCTATATCATTAGTTGTAATACAATTGAACAAAACCGTAAAGAATAAAACCGACAAAACCAAAACATTGGAGACATTGTAGGTCTTCAAAAGTAGATAAAAGTTAACGAGAATGGGCGTTGTAATGAATCTCATTATCTTCTCAGCTGATGCCTAAACTTTCGAACCTGATACTATCCAGCAAAACAGAATATAGGAACCTCAGTCAAAAACAAGATGGTGAGAGCAATACAGGGCTTCAAATCGAGATAATAGAAAGTCGAAGTGGGTTACTATATTATATCCTGCTATATTTTTCCCTGTAATTAAATGGGTAAAAATAAAAAAGTAAATAATGGAGTGGAGATTGAGAAAAAAAAGGGCATAACAGCGAAACAGGGCAGATCAAAACATAACCATTTA